AAAAATACACACAAGAGTGTCCTGCCAATGTTCAGCTGTGTTTATTTTGGTCTCTGTCTATTTGTGTTTTCGTGATATACCTGTCCATAAGCACCACCTTTTCGGATATAACTATATATCATGGAGAAAAATATATCACCCATGGATATGGATTTGTGTTTAAAGTGAATATTTAATTGTGAGAACATTGATCCCAGAGATAACACAATCTAAACAGCATTGTTCCAATATCTACAAACCACGCGGGAGTAATGAAAGACAAACCCAAAGGCATTGGCATTAAAAATACAACTTCTGACGACCCCAAAATAGCATGAGCCATACTCAACCTACTTTGCTACTGATATGTTAAAGAAATAAACAATAGTCACTTTGTAAGGAATCACACACATTAATGAATCTGAAGGCTCTTTGTTACAGGGGGCGGTGGGGTAGCCTAATGGTTAAAGCGTTGGCTCGTCACGCCGAAGACCCGAGTTCGAATCCCCACATGGGTACAATGTGTGAAGCCCATTTCTGGTGTCCCCCGCCGTGATGTTGCTGGAATATTGCTAAAAGCGGCGTACAACCAAACTCAGTCAGTCAGTCAGTCTTTGTTACAGTATATCCAGGTATATAAATATGTGTATATCCATGCACTTTAATGTTCCTATGGGCCAATAGATACTCGCAAATATATCAGCAGCTGGCGGTGAAATGCCTTGGATATTCAGGACAGTGAATATTTATATATATACTGGTGAATAAGTGGATGCACGTATGGTGGCATGTAATGATTTTAAATGGCATCTGTGACCAAAGTTAAATAGCACAAAAGTGTCCTGCCAAGGTCCAAAATCATTCGTTATGGAAGGAATTGAGGGCAAGAATAAACAGATTTGCAACCACATTTTGAAATGTATATATAAAGCAAATATTTTACATATCAAAGATACAATGTCTAGGTACACGTCAGCACTTGTGCAGTATGCGAAATTATTTTCTTTTTAAGTTTTAAATCAAATCTTATTTTGTTTTAATATCACAATGTAGAAAATTCAGTTATTTGTGGACGACTTTTTAGACTATATTCATGTGTGACTACTATTTGCAATGCCATCGTAATGGTGACTTAGTATGGAGTATCCAACGCTATTTACACGACTATTTGCTGATGACATCGTAATGCTGGCTTGGTGTGGAGTATTTAACGCTATTTTCACTACTTTTGCTGTTGGAGAAAGTTGATGAACGTCTGTTCTGTTCTGTTCATGAAGTTTGCATTTAGATCCGCTTTGGTTGGTAATATATGAAAATAACCCTTAAACCAACCCCGGACTAAATTCGTATCTACATCTGATACCCGTCTTTTTCTGAAGCCTCGATGTTATCATATTTCCTTCTGAATTATACACGTGGTTCCGTGTGGTCAGGGACTAAGCAGCATCACAAACAGTGGGATCAGGTAGTAAGTCTTCACTCTCCGTATCAGAAGCATTCCTACTTCAAATCAAGTCAAGTGTGTTAACCTGCGTTGGTGTGATGGTGAGAGATAACTATGTTTGTGATTTAGAGTAGAAGTAAGTTTGATTCAAGGCATTAAAACACAAATGTATTGCTGTCTTAAAGTTTGAAAATTGACGACTGCCTAATTACTCAGAAACGCTACTCATTCATGTACATGATAGAAATAACACTCGACGTTTATGACTTATAAATAGGCTGCTTGAATGGCATTTGTGTGGATGTTTATAAAAGGTCATCTCCTCCACAGAGAAGGCAATGGCTTTGATGTGTTTTATAAATACGCTATTCTCCACAGAAGGCAATGATCGATGTGGGTGTTTATAATACCAAGAAATCAATGACATTGAGATGCAAGCAAAGTGAAATAGAGGCAGAACTCACATTTCACTATCGGGAATGTTGACGTCCATCTTTTCCACTGACATTATAATTTTTCCGAAAGTTGTGCAACTGATTCGCAACTGTGCTTTGTTCGTTCTGATTTTTCCCCCATTTGGAAAGAAGTACACCCTAAAGTTGTATAATCTGAACCTACATGAACATGTCTAAATCTGATTGTTCCAAAACGCAGATTTAGTGCTGTGGTACTTTTTATCTTCAATGTAGAGTATTGTTTTAAACTAATTGTGTAATATTATGTGAGCCCTAATGGTTCCATACCATCCCTCTCTTGATGTAACCAGAGAGTATGATACATATTATCCATACTGACTAGTGGGGTTTTCAGGTAACCACAATACCCAGAAGCCCGTGTTGGTTACAAAAACCGAGTAATGTGTTCGTTGGTAGGCCTCGTTGACTTAACTGATTGTAGTAAATGGTTCATCAAAGTCAGGATGGTCATACGGCAAGGTATTCTTTGCGCCAAATATATACTGGATTATTCTGTTCCTTTCAACACTAAGTGCCAATACATTCAGAGTAAATTTAAACGTACCAATGTTTTAATAGTAGAATATATGTGTTTTTTTATTTATGGCTGTATTTGTCTCCAATGGCTGAAGGGATGGTGTAAATCCAGCTAGGGTCCATGTAAGTAGCAAAAGGTACTGTAAGTTCCCATGGTCCCTAGTGTGGTGACCTAACTTCAGAGGTTGGTGATCTCTATCCCGTTTTTGTATATTGTATCGTTCGTAGAACGTGTTTAATTATACAGTTACATGCTAGTTGTAATTCTCTATATAATATATATTGTTCATGTCTATATAATTTAATTGCATTTATTAAGAATGTGTAATTTGTTAAAGTCACGATATGGCTGAAATATTGCAAATGTGACAATAAATCTCACTCACTCCTTTCAACACCTTGCTTTCAGATAACACTTGAAGAAAAAATATCATGAGATGACAGTGTAAACATGTTGTAAGAATTATGTATGGTAATGTACATGTATTTACACCCTTTTTGTCATTGCTATTGCTTCTGTGCTTATTTCAGCCATACATATTAACCTTTCCATGCCAAAGTGAACCACATAGCAAGCGTAAGATATAATAACGTCTAGTAAACCAGACTCATCGCCTATGAAATACAACAATATTAACAATACTAGTAAACTATATTAGTAACATCAAGAACCGGTTTGGGGTCATTTCATAATTCATGAGTGTTCTTGTACGAAGAACAATGATAAGCTAAAATTTGAGTATTATTGATTGGTCTAACGGACGTTCTTTACATTAACAATTCGAACTCATGGTAAAATATATATTGCTTCCCTCAACTGACACCGAACTCCTTTATAAATTGTTGCTGTTACAAGATATTTCCAGAACTGTATATTACCTACTTGGGTTGTTTTTATTCGCACAGGTCACGAAATACCTCCTGCATGACACATATTTCGTTGTAGATGCCCGTGGAAAGAATCATGGCAAGTGGAGTGTGTGCATACTTTGTTCTCTGCTATTTAAAGGTGCTTAGTCGTCAAGAAGAACCACATACATTTCTGAGAACACCATACGGATTGAAGATGTGTGTTGATTTTTGCTCTAATCTGATTGGATGTTCATCATTTATGTTCTCACACCAAGAAATTTCCTGTCGGGTAGAGTCTGGTCCAAAATCTCGCCATTGAGATGAAAGACAATAATTCATCAAGGAAGTAAAATGCTTATTAATTCCTCTTGCTGATATGTTTTACAAATTTATTTAAGAATATGTTGATACTGTGTGTTTGTTAATACCATATATTATGCAGGAATGTTTTGGCATGATATCATCTCGCTGATATTGATATAAATATGTTTAAGAATATGTTGGCGTGTGTGTGTTCATGCAAGTATGTCTGGCTTTCCATATGTGTATGCCATGCCTGTGTAGGCGGGATTGAAGCAGACTTTGCCGGGAACTGCATATCTGTCCCTGATTTGCTTGTAGGATACACAAGGTATTGGCGTCTTTACTGGAACATGTCAGAAATTTTCCCGGTTGTTGTTCAAGAGAACACAGAGCCAAGTGTGCATTGACCCAAAAGGTAATGGCAGCAATTATAATGAGAAAGCAAAGGGGATTAACATGCAGGAATAATCTTTGTGTATCATAGAACAAAGACTGAAAGAGGGAGTAAGTTTTATCAATATTCCAGCAATATTCCAGGGGCTTCAGGCGTTGTAGAATATGTCAGAGATCAATACTGATGTTGATGTTATCAACCCTTACCTAACGTCACAAGCCACTGTTAGTAACGAGAGTTTGATGTACACTGACGTCTCAAGTCTCTCTTGATGACACAATTTGTTCTGACTTAACGTCATAAAATACTCTTATTGTCACTGATTTGTCACAGTGATCAATGCAAGCACAAGACATGTAGGGGTTCTATCCCTGGAGTCTAAGGTACAATAAGGTCTAATTTGATGCATTCCATAATTCTTAATTCCAGATGGTTCCATAATTTCTCACTTTTATTGTCACCATTTTGTCAACATCAACAACATGACCAAGTGTCACGATATAACAGATACAACGTTAAATCAGTGTTAATACAGGTACAACGTTGTAACTCTAACATTACGGCAAAACAACGTATGGTATGGATTTACAACTTCTTTAATATTTACAACACGACGTTTCTGGGCTACTTCTTGCCCCTTCATCAGGTGAATGACAGAATATGATACAAACAAAATATATAGTATGTACCGGAAGCCAGTGAGATAGTAGTATTACAGATTGACATGTACAGAGATTAAGAGGACCGTACATTGCAAGGAGTCTTGCAGTGGATGAAGAGAGACGGTTGGTGTTTCTGTCGACAAGCTCACCAAAACAGATTAATGCCATGTGCTAATAGCCCTCAAGATACATGGAATGGAGTTTAATCAATGGGATATATGACTGTAGAGTCAGGGATGTGGACAGTCAGGTAGGTAGTGTAAGGCAGGCAGTGTCAGGATGTGGTCAGGGTCAGGGATTATTCAACACATCGATATGTTTGAAACACACGCTTGGTAGCAAAGAACATTTAACCCTTCACACCAAAAGCAACGTTATGTGAGAGCTCCGTATGTCACAAGTAGGTCCACCACGTCTCGGTGTCTATTCTCTCTTGCTTTCCCCACTGCTGTTTGTCTCTTTTTGTTCTTGACGTCGATGTCCACAGTACCCAGTGACAGGATATATTTCACTACCTCCAAATGTCCTCCATTACTGGCTATGTGAAGAATGTTTTCACCATCTCTATCTTTGAGTGACAGTTTAGCTCCATGTGTTACGCATAATTCAACCACTTCTTTATGGCCATTCTGTCCTGCTAACATCACAGCTGTTCTCCCGCAATGTACTTTGTCATTGATGTCCAGCATGTTCTGTGAGAGGACATACTTCACCACCTCTACATCTCCCCCCAGGCAGGCTGAGTGAAGGGTGTTGATGCCGAATCTATCAACGAGTGACAATTTAGCCCCTTTGCTTACAAGTAACTCCACCACTTCTCTGTGTCCCCTACCGGCTGCCCACATTACTGGTGTTCTAGCAATCCATTCTTGACAATTAATGTTCGCCCGTCCCTTTGACAATACGAATTTCACCCTTGACAGGTCTCCGGTCTTTGAGGCGGTATGAATGTCACACAGTGATGGAACTGTAACACAAAGTTAAATTCTATACAAACCTTGGGCGACAGTTTGGAAGGTACAAGATTAAATATTTGGAACATCATATTATATCTGAAACCGAGGGATTTCCTTTGTGACCCAAAAGGATGATTTTTTCGTTAGGATGGCGCGTCGTTTATGTGACAATTATGATGATAAAACCTAAATGAGATAATCCGACTTGACAGCTGAAGCCAACAAGCACATCAGCCACAAGCTGTTGTACTGGTGCCTAACAGGCAGTGGCAGCATTTGGATATATCAATGTATCCAATGGTCTCCACTATTTGTTAGTGAACTCATATTGTTTGAGCTGTACTGTTCTGTAATTGAGGTAAGTGCACAGTGACTTTATTTCAATGTGACGCAGGTCATGAACCATCGTGTGAATGTAATGGACCTTGACCGAAATGAAACCTAACCAAAAGTGGTGTTTATTTTATGCAATTTGGCAAAGAAGAACAAATAAAGTCATACAGACATAAATGAAAAATATACCTTTCTGATAAATATGTGCGCTATCATAGATTTTGAGCAAAGTATATTTTAGATTCCTGGGCAACTGATATATTTCACGTGTGGATGCATGGATGTATGGGTGGATGGATGGACGGATGGACGGGTGGATGAAGGGATTAACTGTCAAAACAAAACAAAACAAAGTATCGTGCTGTAGTTAACAATAGTATTATACAACTAACATAGACACTCAGATTAATACAATTTCATACAAAGGTATCACAATGCAAGTATAAAGAAGTGTCACAGCACTATTTCAATTGTAATCTAATATACTGAACCACAAATAATAAAAAAAAAGCACCGACAGCAGTTCCTTAAAGCACACACTTCGATTCACTCTTATTACCAAACAAAACGGAGGATTGAATTCAAACTTGACAATATGGTTAACACATTTCCGGGAATCACATGTAGAGTTCACACAAACAAAATCTCCAAAAATAGTACCACTAAGATACCCCAAAGTCAGTATTGTGTGTGACCTCCATGGGCATCGAGCGTTGAATCGTCTGTGCATAGAATGAATTAGCCGGTTGATGAAGGCCATAGGCACTGGGTCCATACTCCGTAAAATGCCCGATTGAGACCAACCGCAGTTGTCGGTCTTGCTTAGAGGTCATTCAGACTTCTTTGAATCTCGTCCCAAAGGTGTTCAATTGGACTCAAATCCGTGCAGGCTGTTATCGTGTTTGGATGCCATGTTGTCTTAGGGAGTCCAATGGTGCTCTGGCAGTGTGGGCACGAGCGTTGTCTTGCTGGAAGATGTGATTTCTGTAACGGCCAAAATGTGGTACAACATGGGGTCTTATGACTTAATCAATATAGCGAGCAGCTTTCACGTCATTTCCTCATCCTGGACTGAGATTATGAAACACCACGGTGCCAACTATCTGGTTCAGACCGATTGCAGCCCACACCATGATGCTCGGACCACCCCATGCGTCTCTTTCAACAATACATTGTCTGGAAAACAGTTCCCCACGCCTTTACCATAGTCTCACTCTGCCATCGACTGTCGAAACGCAATTCTCCATTAATGATAACACAAATTTCGATGCTGAGCTGCTCATGGCATTCGGTTTGGGCGATGAGGACACGGCTACGATATGGTCTGTGACAGCAGAAGTATCTTCTGTGCAAGCGTCGACGCACTGTATTGGCACTGTTGGGTCTGTTGTGAGTCCCAATGGTCTGGCGTGCTGTTACCGTCGCTCTTGGGAAGCAATCCTGCAGATGGTTGCACACAATCTGTCGGTCTTGACGTTGTGATGTCACTGAAGGTCGCCCACTGCGTGGACGGTCTTGGATGCTGTTAGTGACCTGAGACCACTCCTGCAGTCGGTAGTTTGTCCTTACCTGAACATTAAAATGAATGGCTACGATCCGTGAAGTCTGGCCAACTTGCAATCGTCCCAAGGCTTGGTTCCTCTGATCTCTCGCAAGTCCTGCCATGGCGATTGCCAAAAGCATAAAAAAGGTTTCAGGTGAGTTTGGGACTTGCTTTCATTGGTAGGGTTGTCACTATATGCACGTGCATTTTCATTTTCACGAATGTAATACGGAACGTTTTACCACGTCTGTCTTTTTAGGTGCCTTTCGTCAATATGCCTTTTTCGTCAGAAAACACACTGTTGGTAATAACTGTCAATTTGGGTTGAAGAACATGTTAACAAAACGATACAATCATTAAAAGTAGTTTTAGTAATTGGAGTACGAGTACAGGTACCCCCAATGGCGTTATTTCTGAATAACTCAGCTCCAAGAGACCCCATCATGATCCACGAGGAGAGATTTCGTTTCCGCGAATCTAGACCAATCAACCCTGTATTCCTACGGGTACACACCCTTTCTCAGCAACAAAGGTCGAGCTGACACGTCGGTGTATTGATTTCTTAATACCGGTGAAGCCATCCAGGAAGTTTGCATCCAACTGTCGAGTGACGACAGCAGAAATTGAACACTATCTATGAATTTCAGACTGCTCAAACTTTTGATCCATGTGTAGTGAAACTAATCTTTTTTTTCGACTAGGAATGAATTAATCCTGTGTACAGTTTCACTCTCACGGGGCTTGTCCTGTGCATGAAAACCTTATTCCCTCTGTGTCCGAAGACGTTGAGTGCTAAATTATGTTTCTTTTCTATCGTCTATACCCGTGTTGTGGAGACCGTCTTCCTCATCCGTGGGATAGCTGGAAAGTCTATGTGGATTACCTTTGGGTTGAAATAAGGCAACTTTCGCCGTTTCCCTCATACAATTATTGCCTTTATTTTCGGGGTTAACGATGGCCTGTTTCTTCCTGTAATGCTTCGGCCCCGGGACGTACGATCCACCTTTGAATGGCACGTAGTTTGCTATGTCCAAATATAATTATGGTATCGATACTACCCACCACCATGAAGCCCCATATTACCGATGCTAATATCGACGTGGATGTAATATCCCCATACCAGCTTCTGATTACATGGCAATGGTCTTGCCTAACGTTGATTATATATGAACATAATCTGTCACAAATCAATATATTTGCAAACAAGATTATGTTTACTGTGGCAAATCCTCAAAATCGAGCCTGTGAAGATCCGGGTGAGAATATTGATCTTCAGTAACCCATGCTTGTCGTAAGAGGCTACTAACGGGATCGGGTGGTCAGGTTTACTGACTTGGTGGACACATGTCATCGGTTCCCAATTGTGCAGATCGATGTTCATGCTGTTGATCATTGGATTGTCTGGTGCAAACTCGATTATTTACAGTCCGCAGCCACATAGCTGGAATATTGCTGAGTGCGGTGTAAAACTCACTCACTCAAAATCGACGTCTTCGTATGTGCAGTGCCACATCCAGAAAGTCGATTTTTTTCCTGTATGCAATGCCATAACAAGAAAGTCGACGTCTCTATGTTTGCAGTGTCACCTCCAGAAATCCAATTTATCCGTGTTTGCAGTGCCACTTCCCTCAGAGTCGAAGTCTTTGTGTTTGCAGTGGCAGCTGCAGAAAGTCAACCTCTCAAGATTAATTGTATGATAGCCACACAAAATCTATGCTGTTTTTGAAGCAGGACGTGGAGCCATCCCAAAGATGACAACCTTACCTTGTCAGCTTGTTGACGGGGTTAAAACTCTCTGTTAATGCAGACAAGGCGTCCGACTTCGGATCACATGGTCTCTGGTTCGAATCCTTGCACGGGACTCGGAAATGTTATGGCCGCTACATTGGCACCCATCTTAGGGCTGAGCACATTCATATTATATTTGAGTAAAATAGGTCTAAGTATCCTCTTATACGGTTCGGCATGTACCATCTGTTGACGAAAGAGTATGAAGCAGGGCATGGATTCATCCTATAAATGATATCCTTAACCTGTTAACTTGCTGACCTGGTCAACCTCTTTGGTCACATGGACTAAGGTCCGTGGTTCGAATCCAAGCACGGGACTCGGAAATGTTTTGGTCGCTACACTGAGTTAGAATATTATAAAAAAGATAGTATATTAGAAGCACAAACAGTTATATATAGTATAGGATGACTTGCCTAAGAGTTTACTAAATTGAGTGAAACCACGTTAATCGTAGCATCGTACAGTACTTTGCTTGATACACTTACCTTCCGTACAGATCTTGTTACATCCTCTATCCAAACATTGGGAAGTGTTACTGCAGACCTTAGATCCACAAGATTTAGTAGGAACCTTTAAAGTGAAATGAATGTGTATCCACTATCTATACAGGATAAATGTGGCTATAGCACTGTACATGCTAAAAAAGCACATCTACACACCTATATACAAATACACATATATACACACCCACATGCGACCCATTGCACACAAACACAAAAAGCATCACACACACAGACACACCAATACACTCGGTCAAAACAGAAACGCAACCCCTGTATTATAAAGATTGTATTCGTGAAATTGGGGATGATACAACGGATTTAATTTAGAAGAGAGAACAGTGAAATTTAGCACAGTGATAGTCTAGATATTCCAGTTTAAGGTAATCATCTTAGCAGTTCCCTTAACGCCACTGGTTAGTCACAATGGGGCGTCTTCCTTAGTACCCCGTGTGGGCACGACGAGCTGCAATCACTGCACGGCACCGCCGTGGAACAGAACGGATGAGACGTCGGATTCTTTCCTGAGGGGTTGCTCTCCACTCCTCCTGTAGTGCAACGGCTAGTTGTTCGAGCGTCTGCGACGGCAGTCTACGCTGACGTACACGTCTGTCTGGAAAATCCCCCATGGTCCCTAGTATGGTGTTCTACCTTCGGTTGTTGGCGACCTATAGCTTGTTTTTATATTGTATTGCCTTCGTAAATAAAGTAGTTTTAGATTCCCATGCTAGTTTTAGACTCCATCTGTGATACTATAGTTATTTTACAGTCCTTCGATTATTTAACAACTTATATTTATTGTGTATGCAAAACCTTTCTCGTCACAATATGGCTGAAATATTGCCGAGGTGACGTTAATTTTTTTTCTCACTCACTCAGTAATTTAAGAAATTCACCGTTGCACGTGCAGTGTTAGGTCTGGCGTTATAAAAAAGGTAGATGTAAAAGGAGAGAAGATATAGCCACAATTGTTTTTCCTACCCCCAAAATGGTGTATAAAATGCCACATATGGGCCTCCCGTCAGCCAATGGACTATTCAGCTGTTAGCAATTTAGACAAATCTGGCCATACAGTAAAATGAAACATATTCTAACACAAATCTATATTTACAGATGCATCCAAGGATGGTGGTGCAGTTGCTTGTACCACTATCATTGGATGCCAGGTACAAATAAGTTATATGAAATTAAGCCAACCATTGGTTACACTTACTTGGGCTGTCAGTCCAAATTTGGGGGAGGTTATTTTTCGGGAGATTATTTTAAGTGAGCGAGTAAGTGATTGAGTTTTGTTTTACGCCACTCTCAGCAATAATTCAGCTATATGGCGGCGGTCTGTAAATGATCGGGTTTGGACCAGGCAATCCAGTGATCAACAGCATGAGCATCGAACTGCGCAAAAATACTGTCACTGTGACTGTAAACTTTAACTCGCACACTCACACACTGATACACAACTACGTGCCACTGTCAGGGGGAACAATCATTTTACGCTACGTTAAACCCCGTAGTGGTACTGAAACTAATAATTTCAGCTCCCTATGACATCCCTCAAGTTGTAAAATAATTTTATATTCAAAATTTATCAAATGATTTTACTTGATTATGAAACCAATAATTAATGAGGGTTCCTATTGATAAAACTATTCTGTAAAGAAGATGCTTGATAATATATATCCCATATGAGAGAGAAATCTAGAGAGAGAGAAGATGAGTCAATAAGTGCAGAAGACAGGAGAGAGAGTCTGAGAAGATGATAAACTCCTTAGATATGATTTTAGATCCAACGATAGTGGCACTTGACACCTTCCAAATATCCTTGGAACCATCTGTGAACAACGAGTGTACATATTCTTGCTGATTTGTGTACACACAGAAAACAACAACACACTCACATAAAAAAATACGCACCTATTAACACCGACATACGACACTCTGAACTATACTATACTAAATCAACTATATGCACTGAACTATACTATACTAAATCAACTATACAAGTTTACACACTCACACTCATCACTCTGACACACATTTACACACAGCTACACACCACACATATACACACAGTTACACACCACACATTTACACACAGCTACAGTCCGTTTGAGTCAGGAACGGACCATGAATTGCAAATTTTATCATTGTACAAACTTGCCACATAAATATAAATAGTACACAGTGTACACATGTTTATCATTTACTAATACCCAACAACTTTCTTATATTTGAAAATTTTCCGGACTCCACCCAAAAGTTCTTTAAGAAACTATCCTTAAACTTTTGACACAGTTCACTATTTGTTACGAGGGAGGAGTGCAGAGAAAGGGACAGCCAGGTGTGCAAGAAAGGATTGAGACGGCACAGCACAGGCTAATGAATCAATAACTTGGTGGGCACTTGTGCACGTTCTTCTCTAACACCTGGCTGTCCCTTTCTCTGCACTCCTCCCTCGTAACAAATAGTGAACTGTGTCAAACTTTTAATGATAGTTCCCTAAAGAACTTTTTTGGTGGAGTCCAGAAAATTTTCAAATATAAGAAAGCTGTTGGGTATTAGTAAATGATAAACATGTGTACTATTTATATTTTGTGGCAATTTTGTACGATGATAAAATTTGCAATTCATCTGTCCGTTTCTGACTCAAACGGACTGTACACATGTATACTCACCCACACGACATATACACACATGTACAAAGTGACAGACATTTCTACATACACACATGACATTGTCATAACTTACTCTGGGACGTTTCACTGGACGTACACTGGATCCGTCCTTCTTCTCAATCTTCTTAACTTCGCCACTTGACTGATGACAGGATGCAAATATGAAGGACTCTTCAAAACATGTAGTTTGGCACGACATTTTCTCAACGTTTCTAAATACGACAGATCTGTTTTTCATCTTCTCTGTCAACTGAAGTCCACATTCCTCTGTGCTACATGTGGAGAGTACAGCTAGTACGTAGACACTTGTTGTCAAAGCCGCCTGCAGACCGTTACTTGAACACAGCAGCAACATCATGAAGTGTTCACTGTAGACCGCAGGTTGGAGGACTACTGTAGGCAGCTACACAAGTGGTAGGGGATTACCTCATTGCAGCATTAATGTTAATAAGAAGTTGTTTTGTCGGGGCCTCACGTGATAATTTCCACATTACGATGGCTACTGAGAAGAAATCAATATTTGTACATTAAATATTTGCTGGTCGCCTCACCATAATGCAAATAACATTAGTTCAGTTGAGTTCAGTTGGGTTTTACTTAACATCGGCATTATTTCAGCCATAGAGGGACAAGTGAGCTTAGTTTTACGCCGCACTCAGCAATATTCCAGCTATATGCGGCGGTCTGTAAATAATCGAGTCTGGACCAGACAATCCAGTGATCAACGACATGACCATTGATCGGGGCAATTGGGAACCGATGACATGTGTCAACCAGGTCAAGTTATGCACAGTAGGATGTTGTCGGAAGTATCTTTCCGCCTTCTATTTTTTTCTACCTTGTTTACAGTTTGTATGGTTTGCGTATGTGCGGTTTTACAGAGGACCCTAGGAATGGTTTCGTCTCAAATAGTATTTATGAGATCAGAAAATAGTTCCATGGGATCAGTAGCATTCCTGAAATTGTCAGGTTTGCATTTTTCAGAACAGAAGGTTTGGAAAAAGGATCAACTGGCTGTAGTAAAATTTTAAAGGTGGTTCACATGCGGGGTTGTTAGCAGTAAGAATGGAGTATGTGACTGGCTTTTGGGGATGGCGATGGGGTATGTAGGTGGTCGGTAAGGGTGGTTTTTGTGGTTACAGCTGGCATGTTGGAATGGTTAATGCTGCTGCTGTTTTGGATGGTAATGGGGTATGTATTTGGTCATCCCAACAGGCCAGTCACGTACCCCATCACCATCCCAACAAGCCAGCCACATACCCCATCACCATCACCACAGGCCTGCCACATATCCCATCACAATCACGACAGGCCTGCCACATATCCGATCATCATCCCAACAGGCCAGCCACATACCCCATCATTATCCCAACAGACCAGCCACATATCCCATCACCATCACCACAGGCCTGCCACATATCCCATCACCATCACCACAGACCTGCCACATACACCATCACCATCACCACAGGCCTGCCACATATCCTATCACCACCACCACAGACCTGCCACATACACCATCACCATCACGACAGGCCTGCCACAAATCCCATCACCATCACCACAGGCCTGCCACATACCCCATCACCATCACCACAGGCCTGCCACATATCCCATCATCATCACGACAGGCCTGCCACATATCCCATCACCATCACCACAGACCTGCCACATACCCCATCACCATCCCAACAAGCCAGCCACATACCCCATCACCATCACCACAGGCCTGCCACATATCCCATCACAATCACGACAGGCCTGCCACATATCCCATCATCATCCCAACAGGCCAGCCACATACCCCATCATTATCCCAACAGACCAGCCACATACCCCATCACCATCACCACAGACCAGCCACATATCCCATCACCATCCCAACAGAGCCTGCCACATACCCCATCACCATCACCACAGGCCTGCCACATATCCCATCACCATCACGACAGGCCTGCCACATACCCCATCATTATCCAAACAGACCAGCCACATACCCCATCACCATCACCACAGACCTGCCACATACCCCATCACCATCCCAACAAGCCAGCCACATACCCCATCACCATCACCACAGGCCTGCCACATATCCCATCACCATCACGACAGGCCTGCCACATATCCCATCACCATCACCAACAGACCTGCCCATACCCCATCACCATCCCAACAACCATCACCACCCCATCACCATCACCACAGATGCCACACATATCCCATCACATCACATATCCCATCATCATCCCAACAGGCCTGCCACATATCCCATCACCATCACCACAGGCCTGCCACATACACCATCACCATCCCAACAGGCCTGCCACATATCCCATCACCATCACGACAGGCCTACCAAGAGGCCTGCCACATACCTCATCACTATCCCAACAGGCCTGCCACATATCCCATCACCATCACCACAGACCTGCCACATATCCCATCACCATCGCAACAGACCTGCCACATACCCCATCACTATCCCAACAGGCCAGCCACATATCCCATCACCAAAACCACAGGCCTGCCACATACCCCATCACCATCACCACAGGCCTGCCACATATCCCATCACCATCACCACAGGCCTGACACATACCCCATCACCATCACCACAGGCCTGACACATACCCCATCACCACAAAAGAACCCGACAATATCACCACACCAACAGGCCAAACACATACTCCATCACCATCCCACAATTCCGACCCATCAGAACCGCCACATACCTTATCGCCATCCGATCATACCCTATAACCAACCCAACAAGCCAGCTACATTCAACATCACCATGTAAAGTGAGTGAGTGAGTTTAGTTTTACACCGCACTCAGCAATATTCCAGCTATAAGTCGACGGTCTGTAAATAATCGAATCTGGACCAGACAATCCAGTGATCAACAGCATGAGCATCGATCTGCGCAGTTGGGAACCGATGACATGTGTCATCCAAGTCAGCGAGCCTGACCGCCCGATCCCGTTAGTCGCCTCTTACGACAAGCATGGGTTACTGAAGGCCAATATTCGAGCCCGGACCTCCACGGGTCATCACCATGTCAAGGGGTCACAGGCCTATCATATATTTCTCAACGCTAAAATACATATACATACGGTACAGAGCGCCGATACAGTTCTGTCAGAATATTATTAATTGTGTAATGTTACGATATGGCATGGGCACCCGTGAAGAGCCACCTCCTCGTGATAGGTGCTGGGTAACGTTAAGGGCTCTTCAACCCCCCGTGTGGACCCGGGAGTATATTTGGTCCACCAACCTGTTTGCCGTGGGTTGCGCCCCTGTGTCGGTGGAGGACGGGAGTCTGGTGCTTGAGGGCACTAGGAGCTTGGAATAGTGTTCCTTTTGCCCAACACACCACTTCGCCCCTTATTTCACCTAGACGGGTGGTAGAACTGGCCCGGTTCTATCAATCGGCAGGTCACGCCAAGCCATGTGCATGGTAAATAAATTATTTGCACTTATACTTATTTTTGGGCCTTGGCTATTTTCATCCTCAATGTACAAATTATTGTTATGTTAAACTGCCTAGACTCCTATGCCAGAAGGCAGTGGCTCATGAGCCAATCTGGTCAAGTCGACATCTGTGTTCTATATGTCTCCAACTTCTTGTTATGAGCCGAACCAGCCTGGCATTCTATTTGGTAGACAGATAATGAATATAGTCACTGCAACTTTGTCGTGATATGTTAATGTCAAGGTGATAACGCATGTTTTATAACTCCCCTGTATATTTAATGACCTTTTATCACAAGACACGGGGTGTAACAACGCATAGGCAGAACTTGTGCAGCAAACCATTTGGCAACTATATCTTTGGAAAGTATATTAATGAGACACCGAAAATCAGTGATGACACCAGCTTTTCGGGAAGAAATCAGGCGTACCCCACCCTACAGATAGCACCTGCCATTCACAGAATGCACCCAAAACGGGAAATATTTACAGCCTGGCGTTATGGCTGCCTTTGCTGAATGTTGTTCAGTAGTACGTATTTTGGGCAGCTTTGTTTCCGAACAACATCACTGTATAATTACAATAAGCTGGTATTACACAGTGAGTACCGGTGTGCAGGCATATTCATTGCTTTAACACCGGACTTATTGAATGGCAGTGCATGTAAAGATCATAGATCGCTGAGAAGAGCTTCAAGACCAGAGGAACCAGGATGAGTGTTGCTTATCTGATGCCATTGTTCTGCAATATAATTTCGCAACTTACGTTACAGGGTATTGTGGTGTGTCTTTAGACATCGTGGTGGAGATCCCGTTCCACAATCCTTCGTCGACAGTTTTTTTATATATAATTTAATTGCATTAATTATGAATTTGTAATTTGTTATGGTCATGATATGGCTGAAATATTGCCGATGTGACTATAAATCTTAACTCACTCACTCACAAAGCGATCGAAGACCAAACACAGTCATATTAAGTGTATGTTAAAGTGTATGTGAATTACGTTCACCTAAGTGCTACGGCAGCTTTGGGGAACAAACCCTGAATTCTCAATGTAAAACTCTGTATCGTATCTAGTTTATACATATCATTTTGCATAACGTAAAAGCAAACTAGATTATGTATGCTGTAGTTTGCGTAGATATCATCTTTTTCACGCGGCAACTAATAATCAAACTCACTCCCATGTAACACCAATTCTCTGAAACCTGAATAATTCAGGTGACTTAGTTCATCAAATATGTAGACACCAGTTAACCATGACTGATAATGACTGAGTTTGCCAAGTGTTGTTGTTATCAGCTTTGAGTACACAGAGGTAAAGATATAGACAAACAGACAGAATGAGTTTATTATAGTGTCACATGTTAAACATAAAATTATGTTACAGAAGTATAAGCAATTAAAATAATGTTTAGCATCCGGCCATATCCTGGCTTATGAGACACTAGGATATAAAACATATTTATTACACATGTAGAAAAAAATGGTGTGGTATAAAATGGGTAAAATAATACCCGAGAAAGGGATATAGGGTGTGTGGCGGGAGTTAATTGAATATTTGGCGTGTAAAAACATATCTGGGACATTAAGTGCAGTGCGTTTGATATTTTTAAAAAAAAATTGTCACTCATGGTTTTAACAATTAGGTCTGTGGGGTTTCTGTAAATATATGTTTGTTTAATGTCATATCTGTTGTCTTCATTTAGTGAGCATTCGGAGAGGAAATTAATTTTCAATTTTATTTGGGCAAAAGTTGCAAACTCTGTGTTCCAAGGGGTGGAGGGTCTGCTGTAACGTCCAGTTTCAATATGAAGGGGGGAGGCTTCCACAACGCACTCTGGATAAGTATTTCCTGAGGGTTCTTGACATTATAGTT